AAAAACGTACCTTCCCTAAATTGTATAAACATTTTTAAGCCCTAAACACAAGCCTAGATATGGCCTTGTCCCTAATACATGGAAGGGAGGGTGTAAAAGAATTCGATGTTGAATCAAGTGGTAGATGTTTATGGCAGAGATCTTATGGTTAAGGCTCATCCTCGACATAAATATTTAATAACAGACTTTGGCCTTGAAATAAGTTGTAAATGAATGCAATATTCTTTATGTATTATATTCCTTTTTAAAGGTACTTATCCAATAACCAGTTGCAAAACTTATCTGCGGGACTTTTTGATCAATGTGCTTGGCTGGAACGGCTGTAAGTAGAACATTAACGTGATTTAAATAAAATTATATTTTTCTGGTGTGACTATGGTTCTACTAATAGAGTACTGTTAATCCAAGCTTTTCAACAAAATGAAATAAAACTTGAAAGATGCGCCCACCGTACAACAAAATAATTAAAAGAAATTATTTGGTTGTTTGCATCTATTTGGCACAAGATTTAAATTTAGTCCAATAGAGATATCGTTGTTAAGTACCTTAAATGGGGTCCAAATTTTTGCAATTGAATGATTTCTTCCCACAGTAGGAGTCTTCGTAAGTGATATTGCCAGAGAAAACCGGACAGGACAAAAAGATCGCGGTCGGCCGTTTACCTTCATGTTTTCACAGTTTAAAAGGTATCCGAAAAGATTAACAACCTTGACAGTTCCCGAGGTAGGCGTTCGTGTTTCTTCGAGATATCACCACATCAGCCACGATTTTGGCCTGTCAAGCGGTTTAAAATAGGGGAAATTTCGGGCAACTTTAGGTGAGCCTAAAAGATACTTCGTACAAATTCTCGAAACTCTTATTGTCGTACGATAACATTTGTATAGGAAATCGATCTGTTCGAGAAACAATTAGGGATAATTGTACGCGTAAATAGATCAGACATTTTTTTGTAATTTCCACAAGTGGCTGCCGAAGTTGAATTTTTTTGGCTTGAAAGCTGTCGAAACTAAACGCACGAGCGACTTTTTTTAATAAATGAGAGGAAAGTGCACGTTGAAACGGTAAAAACGTTATTTTACCGACAAAACTCGCATGAAAACGTATTCTGGAAAGTCACGGTTTACAGCCTTGATTTAAACTATTACATAAAGTTAAAG